GTTCTTGAGCTGATGTATGTGAGATCTGGAAAGAGATGTAAATCGTTTAGTCAATTGAGACCACACATCATAACAGTTTGAACAGTGAAGAACAGTCGTGAACGCAGAAGGAGTTAGAGTTGCTGTGATGCAACTCAACAAGTGAGAATCAATCTGTTTCCAAGCCAAGAAATTTGGATTTGCAACTTCTTTGCCAGAGGCATCGCTAACTGTTAATGCAGGGCATACAGATGATCCATCAACATGACCAACCAAATCAGTTGCTTTCAGGATATTGAGAATCTGATTCCTCCAAACTATGTAATTTGTTGTATCTAATTTGACTGTTACGAAAGAATTTAGATTCGAAATGAGAAGAGCAAGATTGGTGGAAGAGCGAAAGATGAAGCTGCCATTGAAGAACCTGTCATTGAAGAATCTTAGAAACTTGACTCGTGGGAGATCAAGCTCTGATACCATGAAGACATATTGAAGACAATTGAAAAGATATTTATTTCTTTCATACTTACAAATGAATCCAGTACATCTTTATATAGTGATGAGTCTATAGCTATTATAATATCTAACTACTCTGTATCTAACAACTCTAACTGATACTCTAACAGAATTAAAACAGTTACAACTTCTTTAGAGTAGTTACACTAGTATGTGACTCATCCTCATGATGAACTGTGCTACACTCTGTTATTCTATCACAAAGGACTCTAAAATTGCATGTGTGATATGAAATTTTATGGGATCTAAACTATTTTGCAATGAAAGGGTTCAACAACCCGTTTGAATTGAGAGATTTGTTGGCCAATAATGCTACAGTTATCATCTTTTTATATTATATTCAATTTATCATCTAATTTGATATATTCACAACGGTTGAATATTGGTGGGAGTTGCATGAGACCATTAAGCCAAGTATTCTGAATTTGTCATATCAAATGACAAACTAAATGTCGTATAAAAAGATGATAAGTATAACAATATTGTTTGAAAGAAAAGAAAAGAAAAGAGTTACTCCTGTCAATCACCAAATTTGATAGCTTATTGGGAGAGAAATTGAGATTGTTTTCTTTTAAAACTCACCTTTGAATCTCTCCAAAATTGAAAAAAATAAAAAAATAATAAAATTGGAGAGAAATGAATGGAATTAGTAATTACTAGTTTCACTCTTATGTTTTTATTGATAAGTTGTTTCTATGTTTGCCTATGTTATATTATAAAAGCAATCTTTTCTTTTTTTACCATCTTGTTTATCAATTCCCAAACAAGAATAGATAATAATCCACTATTTTTTCTTTATTTTTCTCATAAATTATCCAAACAAAAAAGAGATATACCGCTAGCATTTCTTTACTTTTCTTTTCTCTCCCACGTAATTATATCTTTTCTAATTTTCTCTTCCAAGTTTGTCAAAAGGACTAATGTTATCCAACAAAAAAGTGAATAGCAATCATTGGAACATCAAGCATTTTTAACATTTTCTAGTTGTTTCTTCAATATTTTGTTAATTGTAATGGGTGACGATTAAATCACGTACCATTAGGCCATGTTTGTTTAGGTGGACATGAGCTTGGGATTGGACTAATAGTCCAATAAAATTATTAATCCGATGTTTGGTTAAACAATTGAAGTACGAACTAATTATTTTAAACTTGACTATTAGTTAAGATAGGATACATAATCCAACGGATTGGTAGTCATAGGACTATTAGTCATGGGAATGCTAATCCAATCCGCCCAAACAAACATGGCCTTAGTGTAGTCTAGGTTAGAAACACCATCTTTGTGATGATGTTAAGGCAATGAAATAAAAATCGATCCAAATGGGATCGGTGTTGACAGATATTTGAAGTCTAGAATTATTTATTTTGTTGAATGTAAAAAATTATAAGGGATACTTTTTATTTAAATGCATTTTGTTCAAAATCATTATGGAATTTCTTAAACTAAGTGATTTTAATCTTTGCTTTGTTGTTTCATTTTTCTTCAAGTTGTGTATATCATTTTTGTTGTCTCAGTAGGGATAAACTTAATTCTTCAACTAATACATAAAAGGATACTGTTATACTACAATCCTCTGATTTTAAAATTTATAGGCAACCCAAGAAATTCTTTCTTCCATGCATTTTTTAGTTAAATAAAGTTGTTTTTTTTTTTTTTTTTTCCTAAAAACTTTCAGAGGGTACAAAATTGAATTCTATATTTTGGTTTAGTTCCTTTTGTGAAGGTGATATTTACCTCAACTATGGTTAAATGGTTACACAACCACTGGTAGTTGATGACTAGCAGTATAATATTTCTAGCAGAGTTAATTGAAAACTTTTAAACTATGTTTGGAAAAAGCTTAAAATTTCCGTTCTACATACATAAAACTAAATCACAGAAAAGTATAAAAAAATGAATATGTTACAAGATGGAGAGCACCTTTGGAGAAAATAATGAGGGCACCAGCGAACAGGAACATTTTTTATGGGTACACTTTCTATGTTTTGTTTATAATTTAATTTTATGAATGTAAACCAACTGTTCCATTAATTTCATTTAACTTCCACGCATCAAACAAATTAAGCACTAGTTACTAAAAATGAAGATTACTAACATATAGTGCCAATGTCATGAGAGAAACTAATTGAAACCTAAAATGATCACCGTCAAGGACTATACATTGTAAGCATTGCCAAACACCTAGTCAGAATTAGTGAAATACAAAACACAGAAGAATAAAAAATAAAAATTGTAAATGCACGAACACATAAGGATGCAATGCTTGTGTAGTTCACCTTAAAATTAGGGATAGGTCCCCTATCACTTTAATTTCACTTTAATCAAAAAGAGATACAAACGAGATACAAAGTCCCCCACCTATATATATATATATATATATAAAGATATGAACAATTTAGCAATGGAGATGATGAATAGAAATCATTTGTGAAATTTTGAATTTATAAATCAGTTTTCTCATGGCAGTTTTTTCCTATTGACAGTTATCAATCTGTTAGAAGTATTTTCAAAAAAAGAAAAAAGTGAGCCTTTGCTTAATATAACAAAATAGAAAAAATTAGGACCCCTGTTGTCGAGTAGTTAGCATGCAATACTAGTTCAAATTCACAATATCTAACAATACACTGAAAGCAACATGGTCATAATGCGATGGTTATATTTTTAGGAAATGGCTTCCCTCCAGTCCAATTACAAACTGGAGAGTACTGTTGGGGGGCCAGTAGGGGCCTACCACAGGTCCCGTTTCGATAATCTGAACCGTTTAACGTATAGAACTCGTCGAGTATTATATGTCTACAAAAAATCATGTTGATCACATATTGATAGCTATGTGATCAAATCAGATTTTTGTAAGCTGTTTATTTTTCACCGTCTATTTTTTTCATACAAAACTGATTTGATCAAATAGCTATCGATAACTAATCAACGTAATTTTTTACAAGCATATAGTACTCAACAATTTCTATACATTAAACGATTTGAATTATCAAAACAAGACCCATGGTAAGCCCCATAGACCCAACAATATCCTCCAGTCCAATCGCGGACCGGAGGAAAGCCATTCCCATATTTTTAAACTAACTTCTGTTGTCCATTATTTGTATTTATTGATGGACCATAGCACTATTAATTGTTAATTGTCATCAAATTTGTGATGTGATGCAATGGTCCCATAACATAATATACCTCGAAGATTGAATCGCACACACTATTGAGTACAAGAACTAGGAATTAGGAATTGAAAAATTAAAAAGAAAAATAACTAAAATTCCACAATTGCATATATAATAAACAGTAATGCTCTATACGTGTCTCTTTTTGGTAATTTTCTTTTGGAGAACTGTATCCAATAAAGAGTCTTAATTTATGGTTTATAGTTAATGATTTACTGAACTTTTTCATGGATTGTTGTTGCCTATAACTAAAATTCATGAATTGAATATATAATAAACAGCAATGCTCTATCTCTATGTCTCTGTTTGGGAATTTTTTTTAAAGAATAATATCCAATTAAGAGTCTTAACTATGGTTTATAGTTAATGATTTATTAAATTTAGTTGTCAGATAAGATTCGACTTCTCTTCAATGGATTACATAAACTGAGTTCACAGTTTTCGTTTTGAATTATCATGGAGCTTGAAATTGGCATTTCAATGTTCACATTTTATGGTTTTGTTCCTAAGGGCATTAAAAAAAAAAAAGAAAAAAAAAAAAAAAAAAAAAAAAAAGTGGAACTAATGCAGAAAATTTATTTAGAAAACTGTTTTCGGAATTTTTTTTGGGGAAAAACAAACTCTTTTTTAGTAAACACTTTATTTTGTTTTATGAATGTTTCCACAAAATGTTTTCACAATAAAATAAAACAATACAGAATGATAGGCATTTTGAAACTTTTCATTGTTTTTATTTTCAAAAACATTAAAAACTGCATGTTTGGTAATGTTACCAATTTTCTATTTTTTTTTTTTATACCAAAAACAAGAATTATATATAATTTTTTTTTTCAATAAAACAAATAACATATTTAGTACAAATGTTTTCAAAACAAATAAAAGAAAAAAAAAATTTTGAGTCGCTAGAGGGGAGAGCGGGGAGTAGCTGGAAAGGGTTGTCGAATGAGGGAAAGGGGATTGCTTGAGGGTTTTCAGAGGAGGAGGGGGCAGTCAAAGGGGGTGCAGAAAAGGAAGATGTGTTCAGAGAAGGGTGGCAAATAAAAAGTCACTCTCATATTATGTTTGGATCTTGAATTTATCAAAAGAAAGAAAAGTAGAAGGGAAATAATTGTTAACCAAAATCATCTTACTACAATCGTGTTCGAAATTTATTTCAAAGCGACCTACATTCTCCTCCCATGTGGCTTGCACTTTCCTATAGAATCCAGCCCAATCTCAAAACTGTTTTATTCTAGTACAGTGAGTGTGATTAATGAAGATAGTTATTATTATTATTATTACTATCATCATCACAATGTATACATTAATTAGGAAAGTTAAGCTCCATCATTTGTGAAAGCACTGGTTTTAAATAATGCTTCAAGTGTAAAAAAGAAGTATGTTCTTTGTTTTGCCTTAATCAGTACAGAAGAGGATATGGACTCGAGTCAAACAAACGTTGCAGCAGAACAATTTAAGACCTAATTTAGCTCACTTTGTTGGTAACAATCTAAAACTTTTGTCTGTAACATAAGAAACTTCACATCTCGATTCTAGAATTACCTAATTTAATATTTAGCTCACTTCAACCACTGCAAATTCACCAAAAAAAAAAAAAAAAAGAAGTTGAAAGCAACCAACAAGAAAGAACACACCTCTAATAGATCACATTTCTCTTTTTCCAGATTGCTGCCAAACTCTTCCTCAACAGGAAGAATGGGCTAACATTCTGCTCCACATATGTGCACAAGAAAATTGTTTCAATCCTCCTTTTCTGGCTTGGTACGTGATCACGAACCTGGTAGTTAAAGTTTCTGACTGCTAAACGATCCTTCTCTTCGGTTTAGTGAGTTGTGGATGGTTTTCGCCGCTGCTATGGCAGAATCTCCTCTCTTAATGACACTCTCAAGCTCCCCAACCTTCTCCGACAGCAATCCAACATGAGAGTTGGTTGACTGCACCAACTTGTTTGCAGTTTCCAGAGCAGTGCACAACTGAGACCCAAAACAAAGAGGGCAATCCACGGTCAAAATAATTGAATTACCTTTCCACATGCTGACACAAAGATCTAGACAGTATCAGACAATGATGATTGTGAATTTAAGAAACAAAAACTCATTTAAGTGAGTCCGTGAAAGAATCATTGAAGATTTATCTTCAACACTAATGTCAGAAAGTATCGTCTGCAAAAGAACTTTAGGAGCATCCCAAGATTTTCAAAAAAATTTAAAGCAAACAAGCAAGAGCCTGTTTATAAAACAGCAAATTAGAATTGACTGATATACTGTATCAAAATATAGTTTTGTTTGCTTCAACTTAAAAAGGTTGCTTATGGATTTTTATTTTTATTTTTTAAAATTTTAGGGTATTGTACCAGACCATTTGTTATACCTTTTGCTTACAATTTATGCAGTAAAAATAGTTTAAGAAAGGTAAAAAAATAATAATGATTCTGAAACTAGGGGACGAATTCATTTAGATTCTGCTTATAAAGATTGTCAACTTTCAGTTTAGAATAAACTGCAGCAAACAGGCTCCAGCACATAAAAGTGAAAGAGTCTGAAATCATCCATCAATATCCTCCAAAACAGATCATCCATTACCTTAAGTGTTAAAGCTGTCCATGAGTGGTCCGTACCAGCAAGTGCCTCATTCAGGTGGTCGTAGTTTTCCTAAAGCAAGATTCAAAGAGTTAGATTCAAGGAGTTAAAAGCTCTGTCTTAAACAAAAGAATAATTATAGTTTTAAATTAAGATCAAAAGAAAACTGCATCCATAACATGATATCCTACAGGAGAAGAGAGAGGGAGAGGGATGGAGAGTAGGAACTCTTCTTTTCTGAACAAGTAGTGATGTAAACATTGCTACAAGAACCATTAAGCAGCCAAATGATCTCCACTGACAATATTACAAACAACTTTACAGAATCTGCTGCACTGTTGCGCGTGAATTCTCCAATATAGCATCTAATGGATTCAAAATTTAGATCTACAAGTGGAATAGGTATCCATTATTCATAATAATGCAGTCATCTGAAACCACACATAAGCAGTAGGTCACGGATTGATTTTTTACGGTTCGGTTTGCGGTTTGGACCCGCCCACATGGCTATGGTTTGGGAAAAATTGAACCCGCAACCACCCGCAGTGCAGATAGCGGTTTGTGAAGATAGGGTTCGTGGATATGCGATCGGTTTGCGGATTGGGCTTGTCCTTTAAAATTTTATTTTTGGGCAGGTTTTTTCTCATTTTTTAAATATTTGTTTTGGGACTCTTCCTCCCATTTTTAAAATATTATTTTGGGCCATAAAATCACATATTTCTTATCATGAAATCATTATTTTCTAAATAATTTATCCCAAATAAATTACAACCTATCTATCTAATTTACTTCCAGAAGAAAACAAACCATAAGCACAGGTTAAGATCAGTCAATTGACTCATATTCACTTTGCAAAAAAAGTGTAAGCTAAACAATATATACAGATGCGGGTGGCCAAGGGCGGGTGGCGGGTTGCAACTTGCAAAATAGGAAATCTTAACCCACATCCGACCCTAACGATTATGCAAAACAGCCCAAATAGGTGCAGGAGGTTCAAGTTGGGCGGTTTTCGCGGGTCGGATAACCCTATGCCCAGCCTTAATAAGTAGTAATACCTATAATACAAATTGTTTTTCTCCATGTTATGGAAATGAAATGCATTGTAAATAGATCATTGTAAGGTAGGCATATATAAATCTTACAGTTTTGCTACATAAAAGGGTAGATTAGTTTTAAAATTAAATTATTCATGTTATATGATATCATTATCTATTTACTTCTTGAATTTATTATGCCAGAGTTATGAAGCACGGATACGGACACAGACACAGACACATACGAATACGGACACGTACACGTACACGAGACATGACAATTTCTAAAAAATGGGATAAGGACATGAACACAGACATGGTAGGGGACATGGCAAATTTTTTAATTTTTTATAAATATTTTTATTGTAATACACATTAATTATTTTATTTATTTATTTATTACATTTTTTAAATAATGTATTCCAATTAATTTATTTTATTTTATTTTACATACATGTATTTATTTATTTTTTATTAATATGTATAAGTACATACTATCTTATAATATGTATTATATATTATCTTATAAGTATATTATATGTTATATAATAACTATTATATAATATATAATAAAATAATAATAGTTATTAGTCATATATATTATATATGAATATATAATAATAATAATAATAATAGTTATTATATAATAGTTATAATGTTATATATGAATCAAGACAAAAGGACAGACGGGAGAGAACCGAGAGAGAGGAGACAGAAGCGAGACGATCGCGATCAGAAGCGAGAGAGAGGGAGACGATCGCGAGGGAGAGAGAGAAGGCGAGAGAGAGAGAGCGCTCTGCGAAGGCAAAGGCGAGAGAGAGCTCGTCGAAGTCGAAGGGGCTGGATCGTCGATCGAAGTCGAATGGGGCTCTGGATCGTCGATCGAAGTCGAAGGGCTCTGGATCGTCGCCGACCAGGTTTGTCCTCGTTTTCCCTTTCATTAACTCTTCTCGCCGTGTCCATGGTGTGTCCAGATTCTGGACACGCGTGTCCCCTGCAAAAAAATAAATTAAATTAAG